CTTTCGAGCCTATACAGCTTGGAGTAAGACAACATGCATGAAGAGGATGATGTGGACAAAATACTCATTTGCCTAATAATTCTGCACTCCCTGTATACTGCTTGATCATTCCAGATACAGGCCCTTAGAATCTGTACTCACTCACATTTATCTTCACATCTACACAACTCAAAGGTTGTTCTTTTGTTTCTCACTCAATCATATTGGAGTTACCTTGAACACATTTATGATCTGAGATAATGATGAAGTTGTTCCTTACTTGCTGTGAAGCAAACATGTCTCAGGTTGGGTCCTTGTTACCCTGACTCCTTCCTAATCATGCCTCTCACCTCTATTCACATTGCTGGTGGAGGGACTAAGTTGTGAGGAGAGGAAGCTAGGAAAGGAATCGCAGAATGCCCAATCAGAGAAATTAGAAACTTCAAATACACTTCCCTTATAGATGTAAACTGTTCATGACATTAGGTAAAGCTGCAGCTTTCTCCTACCTGCTCTGTCACACTAGGCTGTTATTGCATTTTATTATGGAAATGATACAAGGTCACAGTAAGACTCATATGATACAATATACTGTGAAGGTTTTGAGCAACCCTTCATTTCTTTACATTTAGCTGGTAGAAATAGGAGTGATGTAAACATACATACAGTAATACAGTATAAAAGGTAAAAGTCAGTATTTGGTACGACCACCTTTATTCAACACAGCCTGAACTCTCTCGGTCTGCTTTCTTGTCATGTGTTGAAGCACTTTTCAGGACTCGTTCTCTATTTTTCTTGAATCATGTGGCAGCTCCAGCCGAGACTTTTCAGTGTTAAGATTTAGTTTAGCTGATCATCTTTCATACAGACAAAATTAAAATAACACGACACACAGTTTTGATTTGATATTTCCTTAATTTAAGACAGCTGTTTTCTAATACGTCTGCACGCAGTTAGTAATGAGTCTTCTGTTATTTAAAAAAAAAAAGAAGCAGGAAATGGAAGAATGCAATATTGGTTTAAAGCAGGAAGAGTGGTATTGGAAAACTTGTAAAAGAACCTATTTTAGAAACGTGATTATATACAAGTTTAATCTTGGGTTTTGGCAGCAAAGTAGTTGGTATTGTTTCCTTTGAGCAAGAAGGTCTTGGGTTCCTGTGTCTGAGCAACACCATGTGCAGCATCCACTATAGCCAGCAGAGGTCAGCAAAGACTTTCAAAAAATGCTCAGTAACACAAGCTGGATTTATCATAATACACATTTTCTAACCTTTCTTCATATTAAATACATAAGAGTGACAAATGAAAGCAAAAACATGAACTCCTTACATGTACAGTGTGGGATCTGCTGGCCATCTTATGCTATGGGGTTAATTGCAGGTATAGTTTGAGTCTAATTGTCAGTGGAAAGGTTATTGCAAAGTAATACAGAATTTCTGTAGTCTTTCATATGTTAAAACCAATGGAACACGTACCTATCAGTGAAATGTTAAACAGCAATATGTAAGATGGTACATTCCACGACTGTCATAAAAACACTAAATAACGGAAGAAATGGGTGCCTGGTTCCAGTAGAGTATCAGAGACTTGGAGAATCAGTGTGCTGAAGCAGTCCTGCCAGCATGTGGTGGCCCAGTATCTAACTGAGGAAAAATGAAATGAGAGCCATCGTGTATGTATACATTGTTTATTCCATAGAAACTGCAGCATTAGACAAGTGCTGAAGCTGTAAACCATGTCGCAAACACAAGATCACACTTTATTTTCCCCCACTTTCACGCATTCCCTTAGCCACACACATTCGATCAATGCCGAGCACTGGTGCAGGGAGATTTGCCAGTAAACACTGAAACAGAAGTTACACAGTCACTCAGAACAAAAAAAACTAAACAAAAAAACAAAACATTACAGCAGGGCGTTTATTTATGACACCAACTGACCTCCTTAACGGATAGAAAATAAAAATTATTCCTACAGCAAGTACATTCTCTCTAGTAAGACCCATAAATATGCGTTTGAGAGTTCAAATTACAGTATCTACAGAGGTCCATGCATCCACGATATACATACAGAACAATAAATATCAGATATAGTCACAATACAGCATCAAAATGGATATCTGTGGAGCGGGAAGCAAGCAAGACACGGCCAGAGTCAGCTGTGGAAAGGCATTCACAACCTGTGAGTGAACGGAGCGGCCTTTGTGCGGCTGTGAAAACAACAAATAAGATGAGAGGGAGGTCTGCAGAAGCACCAGTGAGCTTTTCCTCCAGGCTTCAACCTGGCTCACGATAGAAAGGGGAAAGGGAGGAAAAGGGGACAAGTGAAAGGAGAGATTGATGCAAAGTAAAGCAAATCAACTTTCTCAGCAGTGGCTGAAAAAAGAAACCTCAGAGGGAGGGGGAGACCTACAGAGGAGCGAGTGTGAAAGAATGAGATGAGAGGGGTCAAATCAAGACTTAGTTTTGGCAATGTGGGATCCGGCTGCGAATTAACAGTCTCCGAGTGTATGAGAAGCATCTCTTTGAGGTTTTCACCTTCACCTCCACCTCCTTTCTCGCTCTTTCTCCCTCTCAGCGAGCGAAGGCCTTTCCTGAGCAATGAGTCAGTGAACGCTGTCGACGCAGAGACAGAGCGGTTCATAGTCAGACTGTCAGCAAACGAGGCAAAGTGCTGGAACCGGAGCACCTCTTGTTTTGTGTTTAGGTTTTCTGCAGCGTCTTTCTCAACGCACAATCGGGCCATCCTGACAGGCGGAGGAAAAACCAACAAAATTTGTCATCAGCATGAAAAGCAAAAACACTCAGTGGTTCAACTTAGAAAAAAAAAAGATAAAATCAGTCAACAGATAAGATGCATGACATCCTCACACTGTGCTGTATCGGCTCATTCACATTCCTCATTAAATATTCAGCGCTTCAGAAGCCACGTATTGCCTCGTGTGTTTCAGACTGCTGCTCACTGCCTCTCTGTTCACAGATGAAAGCTGGTGGAGACACTTTGCTAATGACCACTAAAGCCTTGTGATGTAACAACACTCATAATGACTGTTTTTTTCCCCTATCCAGCATCTACACTGGCTGAAATGAAAAGTTTTTGTTGCATCCACTAACTGAGTCTCTGTGAAGGGCCATGGCTCTGTGTGGACATGAATGAAACCTGCACTCACCCCTACACAGATAAGCTTCAAACACATGAAGAGCTCAAGAAGGTCTACTTAAGTTTATGGGTCTTCTGACCACAGAACACTAAATATAGCTGATTTATTTCTAGATGAGGCCCAGGCTGATCTAAAAGCACACTGAATCTATTTGTGCAGAGGCACTAAAACCCGCTGAAACAATGTGAGCTTGTGTGAGCAGGCAACATACACTAATCAGCCACAACATTAAAATAGGTGCAGAAAAAACACGATGAGTAACACCTCTAGGAGACTTTGGCTCATGGGACGTGTACCTTTGACATCACCATCAACACTGTTACCTAGCATAGAGTATAAAAGATGGATATGGCAGATGTCATTCACTGATTTGCGAAGCCTCGAGCTGAGCGTTGTCAATATTTTTATGACACCGCAAACTTAAATATTAATGACTTGTCAATCACAAGGTAGCCCCGCCCTAAAGGATTCCCTGCGTTCTCGTTTTGTTTTTTAAACTCTACTAAGGATCGTAATATTTGCATTCAGTAAGACTCGACAGCTTTAAGGCACTTTTCAACTGGCTTCAGGTTTAGGACCTGGAAGCCACATCTATCCTTTACAGTCTATGATGCAGATCAAGCTCCCTTCCATGGTTGTTCCAAAAGACATCGACTTCCTTACAACTATCACAAATCCTGCCTGGAGCGTGAGCCCAAGAACTGAACCCAACCCCAAAACTGCTACCACTAATCCATTCATCAGGGCCCCACCCTGGGGGCATGGTGGCAGCATTGGTAAAAATAAAAGATACGTGTCACAAATTCTTAATAATTAATTAGCACTTTAGAGATTCAAAATGTTCTAATAATGCTTGGGAGGTTTACTGGAAAGAGTCACAATACTAAGTATCAGCAAATTGATCAGCACAGCCAACTGCTAACATCTACGTAGTTTTGGCTTTAATCAGTCGTAGTCAGGCCCTCGTGTAGAATACGAAGGCTCATAGCTCTGCCTTTATGCAAATTCCAAATCTTATGTCTTAAGGTGTTGCCTCCTTTGAGATGTGTCCTCAAGAAAGTCTGAACTGATCTGAAAAATGCATTTTCCATCGGAAGAGATAAGCACATAAAGTATTTACTTGTGCAGAAACAGGGAGGACTCACAAGAGAATCCAACTGGAAATTAACCAGAAATCACACTCTCAGATCTTTGACTGCACCAAAGTGCACAGTCACAGAGGACTTTACGAGAGTGCATAAGGGCCAAACAGACCTGCAAATAAAATGCTACCAATTAAAGCAAAAACGTCAGATTTTACTGCAATAAAAGTTAACCTAAGTCATAAGCTGCCTTTAATATGCTGTAGGTGTTATATTTAGCCTCCAACCTTTCCCTCCCTGTGTGCGTCTATCTATATTTAACCAGCGAGAAAGGCAAATCATTCACCTCCAGCTGAACTCAACAGGGACAAATAAACAACCAGTTCTACTCCAGCAGAGAGCTATAAATCAAACAGCAGTATAATGAGTTAAAGGCCATATCAGTGGGGTCCTAAAGACCTCTCCTTTTTCCTATTAAGTGCCTGCTTATCTAGTGTCTTCTTCACAGTCGACCAACCCTTAGGTTCATTTCCCCAAATCTGTGTTGATGGTAATAAACAGACAAATTCAACTCTGAAGAAACAAGTCTAACTTCTGTGCATGTTCTGTTTTTTCTTTACATAGCTATATCTTGTGAGCTTAACTGACAAAGGGGGGAAAGTCTATATGCAGATTTGATAAGGCGTTTAAACACGGGGCAATATTTTCCCTGAAGTACTGAGAGGCAGCTTATCAGTGTAGGACTCTGCGCTTTTCATGCAAACTATTTAGGCAAAAGTGTTTTCTGGTTCTTCAATTTCTGTTCTGTGACATGAGGGGTTTTAAAGAGGGCCTGGCCTCAGCAAAGCACTAAACAGTAAACAATAAAAGAGCGTGCACTGACACTCTATGATCTATGAGTTCATGGGTGACAGTGTAGTTGTGCTGCTTTCTGATATAGTGCATTTAAAGAGAAAACATAAAGCTTTTCACAAGAGACTCTTTTGGTCAATATCCGATAAATGGAAATAAGAAGCTGAATGCTCCGAAGGCCTCAGTCTGCTGTTAAGCTCCCACAATAGCACTGCAGGTCAGTCAGTGGAAACTTCAACATAGAATAAATACCCTAACATTCATCCAGACATGTTCCAGTTCCTTGGTTTGTACGAAAAAACAAAAACAAAAAACCCCATACAGTACTGATTTAATTCTTTAGACAAAAGCGTATTGTTGCTTCATATTATTTTTATGTACATTTTCAGTAGTCGTTACATATTTAGTATTTCAGCACAGCTTATGGATAGAGAATGCATATTAAAAAAAATCAATCTTTTGGCTTGTGGGTTGGTGTTATTCCTTCACCTGCGTCGACTGACGATAAACTTTAAGTTCAGCTGTATTTGCTTTCATCACTTTCTGATGGTTTGTTTCTGTTTCCCGGGAAGCTGGGCTGTGAGTCACACACCTGCTTGTTATGTTTTCTGATTGGTGGGTTAAACTGTTACGTGCATTAGTCGACAGCTGATGAAACTTACAGCATACATTTCTGCTTACATAACAAGTCCAAAGCTGCATTTGCCTTTGTCCAGATAATAGAAAGCTGTTGGGAGGACTGGGGTTTGAATTAAGTTCCAGTTAAAATATTAACCAGTGTGGGGGCTTGTAGCACCTAATAATATCGATTGTTCTGAACTGCAAAAGATCAAAAATGTGATTGAAACTGCTTCACTGCCACTGCTCATCTCTTTTCCAGCATTGTTGCTATTTACAAAGCAGCAAACCGACATGGACAGCTTGGAAGCGCAGCTGACAACGTCGCTGCAGTGGTTCCTGCCACGCTTACAACTGTTTTAAAACTACAGTGTAGCTAGAGCATAGTCTGATGTGCACCTTCAGAGAAAACAACTGTGGTTGGTCTGTTTGGTGTTGATGGTCTGTGTAAGCATAGTTTACTGATTTGCTTCCTCACTATTCTAATGCAAGAGATATTAATCTTCCAATGTAGGCCGTTTTCATGTTTTCATTCCTCTTGACAATCCGCGCATAAACTAAATAAATAAGTTAGATTCAATCTTGACAGCAGACCAGTGCAGACAGCGCTGTCACCTACTACGGCACTGGCTCTATAGGGGTTCAAAGCAGGACTGCAAGTTAAGCTTTAATTGCTTTAATTGTGTACTGTTTGGTATGGCTTTATTGTTGTAGTCTACAGTACCATAACCCTTTTCTTAAAGTTGCATATTAAAACAGCCTTTGAGTTTCCATGTCAATGGACCAATTTCCTTAATACACTTTAGTCTTTAGAGCACACTGGTGACATAGATATCAGTGGACTGAAGGAACCTTGTAGTTCCTTTAAAAATATGTATGGCAGCATACAGTGTGGTTGCTGCTGCTGGAAATAAGGTCAGTGAGAGCGGTGAGAGTGACGCAAAACCAAAACACTGGAACAAGAGCTAAAAGAGGCCAAAACGCTGGACGCATATCTGAACTGTTCTTTTTAAAAACACTTAATGTAAAAATTTGATGTAATAATTGAAAGCAGGGTTCACTGGATGTGGGGCCAAGGGCCACAGACACTGTACTGTAGTTAGGAATTATTGACAGATGGATTAATGCTACTGGGTTTGATCTTTAGGCCTATATGAAATTTTTCCAACAATGAGAAAAAAAAACACAAAATAACACCAACCTTAACACTTTGAATAAAAAATATATTTTTTTAAAAATGTAGTCGCCCACACTTTGCTACACTGCTTGATTTACTGCAAGTTCTCAGTCTTACTTAAGCTCTGGGCAGACCACACGGGCTTGCAATTAGTTTGCAGCACTGATTGCACAGAAGTGTGCGAATGAAATCTGCACATAGCTTGCAAACTTACATGCAAGACTGTCTGCACTTCAGCGCCACATGAGATTAAGTTGCTACAATGATAGCATAAAACGAGTCAGAGTACCGCTACACTGACCAACCACGCAGGTGATGCACAGCCGACTGGAACTGCATAAAGGCATACCATAGTTTAATCTAACCCTTTATTTGAGGCTCAGAGAGAAACTAGTGCCCCTTCTGCCTGTTTATATTGCATATGAAAACCAGAGTCCTCTGGGACCCCCCCCAAAAAAACACCAGCCAAATGATTGATTCTTTTTTTCTCTTGTTTCACACACATAGGAGAAACATACGGAGCAGACAGAGCATGACTAAGAAGCACACTGACTTGTTTTTTTTAACATTCACTTGGTAAAACTAGTACTAAAAGTACTTCAGATTACATCAACAACAGACTGGCACAATTAAAAAAAAGACTATCGTTCTTCCTTGGCAGTCCTTGTTCAGACCCACAGTGTAGGGCGTGTGTCTTTCTAGACCAGTTATATAGAAGAGAAGGAGAAACAGGAGGCACAAATAACTGTTTGATCAAGCAGCCAGCAGGGGTGATGAAAAGCATATGAAATTGCAAGTATCTGTTGGTGAAATGGGAACATTAGAAGGCGATCCCCACAAGGACGCCTCCTACTGATCGACCAACTAACCAGCAGGTAGTTTCACTCCCTGATATGCCGCCACTGTAGGTCCTTCTGTTGCATGAATTAGCTTGATTTAAAAGTGCATCTCCCCGAAGGGCTTAAACCTGCTGCCAAAATGAAAAAAAAGCTTCTTTATAAATAAAGTTCTGATTATTTATCACATTGCTTTTCCTACCGCTGAGGACGGGAAACCACAACTCTCTGCACGTCGTCGTGTAAAGCCTCTGTAACAGTGACAACACAAATTTCAACACAAAACTGGAATCCGGCAGCTCTGTGAAAAAACTTCCAACAATGCCGCTTGAGCGCCACCATGAGTTTTAAAAATGCTAACAGTAGAGGGACATCCTACTCCGCCGCATGGCCTCGCTGATCAGATAAGCTGGGCTGACCTCTGGTTCTTCTGTCATGACCACAATGTTCTGCCACTCTCCGCACTGGTTGGACTTCTTAATTGTATCCACCACACACAGAGCATATAGGCAATCCTCAAAAGTGGCAGCCATTGTCAGGGGCCTCCCGTCCCACGTCCGCCGGTCATCTTGGTCCTGGAAGGCCTGCCGCACAGCCTGGATCATGCGGATCGTCCCGGTGAGGTAAGGGGACGGAATGTCACTGAAGGCCTTCTCCGGCAGGGAGGCCTTCTCGAGAGGCGTGATGTCTTTGAGCAGGAGCTCAGGGCCGCCACCACTTTCTCCACCGCCACTGTTCTTCTGTCCATACAAGTCTGTCCCTGTGACCGTTAGCCTCCCGTCAGTCCCTACAACTATCACCTCCTGCCTGAACTCTCCGGGGACATTGAAGTTGAGCGTGACGGTGCAGCAGGCGCCTCCCTCCAGTACCATCTGGAACGTGCAGAAGTCATCACTGGTGATCTGGCGGATGCCCCGAATGTGGTCGGTCTGTTTAACGAAAGTCTTGAGGAAGCCGTGGACTTTGGCCGCACGCTGGCCTGTCAGAAACGTAAGCAGGTCAATAATGTAGCTGCCAACCGAATGCAGGCCACCGCCTCCCATCAGATCATCGCAGCTCCAGTTGTATTTTTTCCCAAGGAGGCTACCACTGTGGACCTTTAAGACAAAGAGGATAACAGGGGAGGGAGCACAAGTTTTTTAGATTTTATTATGGCTCACTTGACTGTGATCAGGAAAAGCAAGAATGAAAAGGAGATAGTTGGGTAGCATCTGGGATCAAATCACCAGGGTACCACCAGTGTCTTGTAGCAACATTGATTCTTTGCTATGCGGGTGCTGCTATAACTCAATCTAACATCGAGATAAAAGCATAAGAAACAATTTGTATAAAATGTCTTCACACAGCAATAAACAGAAGTAGTTCTGGTCATACCTGGGCCTCACAGACCAGAAGTTCTCCGACGTAACCTGCCTCCAGCAGCTCCTTCATTCGAACAAAAGCTGGCAAGAAACGCAGAACATTTCCCATAATGCTCAGCAGCTTGGGGTAGTACTGGGCAGCTGACATCATTCGGAAAGCATCCAGAGGCGTGGCGGTCCTGTCGCAGATTACATTTTTGCCAATACCTTATAAAATAAAGGAGAGACAACGGGGAATCAGACATGCAACCTTGCAACTTATTGTACTAAAAAAGCCTGACAGCTTACTTGAAATGTTCAGATGAAGGAAGAAGGTGGAAGAGAAGAGACGGAAAGAGAGAGAGTGAGAGAGTCATAATATCCTCTTGAGCATAAAAACATCCCTTCCCCTGAAGAAACAATGCAAAGCTGCTAAATGTGGTAACTCCCACAACAACTGGCTCAAGATGTCATGAACTTTCAAGTAGTTCCTATCTGGGTCGTGAGAACTGTTAGTGTAAACTGCGCACCAATGGTGAATCCATGCAAAAAGGCAGTTTTGCAGTCTATATTATTGGCTCCACCAGCCAAACCTAATGAAGATCTTCTAAAGTCACTAAAAGCCATTTAGATGGGCTGCTGGGGTATTCCCATGATGTATTGAGTGGTAAATGGCCTGTATTTGTATAGCGCTTTTACTAGTCCCTAAGGACCCCAAAGCGCTTTACACATCCAGTCATCCACACACTGGTGATGGCAGCTATATTGTAGCCACAGCGGCAAGGCCGCCGAACAATGGTGCCACCGGGCCCTCAGACCACCACCAGTAAGCAACGGTTGAAGTGTCTTGCCCAAGGACACAACGACTGTCCGAGCCGGGGCTCGAACCAACAACATGCCAATTACAAGGCGAATGCCCAACTCTTGAGCCACGATCGCCCACATCGAGTGCATCTTCTTCAGTCACCTTTTTCACTCACTATGTGTTAATACATCTCTTTACATTTAATTATTAGTTATTATTAATCTCTAGATCTCTTCCAAAGTGTGTTTTTGTCCTGTCTTTATCCACCTAACCGCCCCTCCCAGTGGGTTTTCTCTGTATTATTGGCTTTACCTTAGAATATAAAGTGCCATGAAGCAACAGTTGTTGTGATTTATTAAATAAAAAGTCAATTAATTTGATAAGTTGAATAATTGTTGGCAGGCATGCGTGATATTGCAGACATAACCATGGTGTACAGTAAGACCACACAGCTCACAGAGGTTTAGACACGGTTCATTTGCATTACTTGCATTTGCCTTATGGTAGAAGAGAGGAGAAAGACCGTGTACGAAACCCAATAAAAATCACTTCCAGCACATCAAAAGGCCCACTGGTGGCAGAAACACCCGAACACAACCAAGATGTGAGGCTGTATGTCTGTCCTCACATCACCGTTATAGTGATGGTACTGCAAAATATGCTGTTGAGGAGTAAGTTGCTTTGTATTCATTGATTTGTTGTTCAGTTTCTAGGCAGACGAAACAGAATCAGGCCAAGCACCAATTTTGCCTCGAGCCAACCGTTCAAACAAAATCAATTCTGAGTGACAGAAAAGAGACCCCCCCACCGCAAAACCCTGAAATCTGTCTGCAAATTGCAATCGATTGTCAAACTGGCTCTGAATGACAAAAAAATTGAAACAGCTGTGCTGTTCTTTACTACATCTTTGCAAAGAACATCAATGTTAATCAATAACACTCAATACTGTACAAAAACTAAAACTATCCATCATGAGGACGCCTTGAATGCATAAAACCAATGCAAAGCAGAAGTAAACAGTCTCTGTGGCCAAAATAGTAAATGATGAAACATACTGTAGAACAAAGTCAACATAGTGACACAGTATAGTTCATAGTATACAGAAATCTATATAAACTTCAACAGAAGCCCATCTTTGTTTGCGGTGTGGCCAGTGCCACAAGGTTCTCGTAAAAAAAGCCAGTTAACTTATATCTTTTTTGTCAATGAAGATAATGTGTTACATTCAATTTCTATGTGTATGTTTTTTTTCTACATTAACTAGCTTAAATGTTCTAGCTTTTCACAAAAGATGCATACAACCTCGGACAGGCACAGGAGCAGAAACGCTGCTTCCTGTAAACCGCGCAGTTGGAACCTTTTCTCTTGTAAGACCGGTAAATACAAAACAACGGCTGGCCTGTTCCATATTAGAAAAACTCTGACTGACCACACGTGGTACCCGTTGTACTGTTTTAGTTTGATAAGAATAAAGAACTCAAAGAGGATAACTACAGACCACTGTACTGAATAAAGGTGCATTTTTAAATCCATTTGTATTTGTAAGTGAAAGAATGTGGTATTTTCTCTGCACAATCATGCTTATGTCTTAAAACCTTTGACTGACTGGGGGGGTCTAAGCCTCCCACTAGTGTTGGGCTGTTGCTAAGGATTTATTTTGACTGATACGCTGACACTGAGCTGTTCTTGTGGCCACTTCTGCCACTGTTAGCTTAATGCACTGTAAATGCTCTAGATTCACACTGTCAACAGGGAGTCAAATAATAAAGGATATGTACACACAATCTAAAAGCATTGCTTCACATACTGTACACATTCCTTGAGCCCTCAGAGTGTGAAAAGCTTCATAGTGGAGTCCCGGCTGAGGCTGCCTGTGGGTGAACTAGCAGTTTTGGAAGTGAACTTCAGCTCCAATTAGCCAGGTCAGGATATTAATCCCTCTGACCCAGTTCTGAGGATCGCTAAGGGAGCCCCTCCCCCCCCACCCATTACCCAGCCACTGTGCACACACACACAAAGCAAAAAATATTTACCCACGTCCCCTTCGTCTTGGCAGCAACACACAGAAACAGATACAGGAAAAGACACACTGCCTCGGGTGAGACTCTTCAGGCTAAATGCTAAATGTTCTTGACGGGGTATTTTGGTTTTCATATGAAGCACTAGCTTGCCTAGTTACAACACAATACAGAACAATAGAATACAAACAATACAAAAATGACAAAGAATACTGGAACTTTTTATACTGTTATTCTTATGGTTGTGCTGTCATGCCAAACTAAAGTGTGACCTTTATGGAGATGAAAAGCGGCTTCTCTTCAGATCAGCAACGACCTTTCGTTCCTTGTCTACAAAGCTCTGAAAGGTCGAGCCTGGCTTAGACAGGTCAGACTGATGAGTCAGGGGAGCTACTCTGCTGAAGTGTGACTCAGACAGTGAGAAGACACATCGTGTGTTTGCGCAACAGATTATGGATGCACCTGAGCACAAGGTGCTATCATAGCAACCACTGCAGTAAACCAACGGCTGGGAGATGAAATGATACAGCGCTAATGCTGTATTTGGTAGACCTGAATTAAAAGTGAATAGAGGAGCGTGAGAAGAAATACGAGTGCAGAGCACAGAGCAAAGAGTACAAACAAAAGAAGAGGAGGACGATGGGAAATGGAGCGAAAGCAATTGTAAATTTAAGAAATCACATGGGAATCCCTTGAAAGATGGGATGCCAAAGAAAGATACAGTGTCATCAGTACAACTAGGATTATAGGCAAGACTTCCAAGAGTAAACAAATGGCACTCGAATGGATAAGGATTGAGGGTAAAATACAATACTGCATTTGTGTACTTACAGCAGTATTGTGGGCCATATACAGCTCCCCGTAAGGGACCTGAAGAGCTCAATTTAGTGGGCGATCTATGCTCCAACACTCAGTTGTGAGCATTGGGAAGTGAGAAACATTGAATTGATGTTAATCTCTAGACATATCATCTCTAGACAGACGTGCTAGCAAAATTGTTGAACAAGCGTCTGAACACCTCTCTTCCTTTCTGCATCTGAAATTTTTGTTAGTTACAGAAACAACAGCACCAAGTAATACCTAGTCTAAGGGGAAACCCTGAGATTAGATGTACTGGTGCAGCATATGGGAAGGAATTAATGAGGAATTAATTAGAAATAAGAAACATAATAACTTTTTTGTCAGACAGACTTAGACTTCCAACTGAATTTATCAAGACGCTTGATGTAACCTAACATTGACCGTTAACAGCCTGCTTTGCTCTCAATTTGTTTAACAAACAGCTCATGTATAAATTCAATATATGATTTTAAATTGCTAAGTTGATTGAGGACATTACATGTAAGCTTTTATTTCCAGTTTATCTATTAGTACATACCAAGTAGTCCTGATCGGCATCTGCACCTTATAGCTAGCAGACACAAACAGCGGAGTGTTATGTTGAGGTGCTCAAAAAATTCATTTGAAATAAACTGTCACTTAAAAAACTCTTACTCCGTTTATGCTTGCTCCTCTTCTGTGCTACTAATTAGATGTTCAAGCACTGTAACCCACTTTACACCTGCACCATGAACACATCACAGATGTACCTTCAATGGAAGCGACACCAGGCTGCCAGACATGAAAAATGAACTCATTCGACAGTAATACGCACTGACCTGCCTATCAGATTTAAGTGGTCATTAAATTAAGGTGTTCTGGATTATTGGAGCCCTACCTAGGATGTAACAACTGGGATAAGTGCAAATTCTGACCTGCTTAGTTGCCACGAGGCTGGTAGGAATCAGCCTATAACCTGCCTCTGTTCCTGATGCCATTCTGTTAAGGCTGCTTCTCTCCTGGCCAACCTCGCTTTATTGAAATACTGTATATTGCAATTTAGCTGGTCTTTGAGCCTTCAGTGTGTTAATAGTGGTGGTTGATAATCTACTGGATTTACAGCTAGTAAGCTTCTTCTTTTTCTTGATGTGTGCCACATGTGAGATCAACAGTGGAAAATATCCTTAGATATACGGTAGGTTTAGTGTAAAGGCCTGACGCTGGGGGTTAGGGTTTGTCGAATAGCTACACTTCCTCAGGATTGGTAGGGTAAACTGAAGCTCAAATCGCAGGTAAAGTTCCTGACCCAGTGGGAGAGCAGTAATGGAGCAGAAAAAACCCTTGAGCACAGAGGCTCAGTCCCTTAGCATCAATAATTCACATATAAGACTTATCTAACCAACAGATTTAAAGGCAAAGAGAGAGGAAGGCCCTGCATTAGAGGGAAAAAGGACAATCACACTCCTATAGATATGACAAGAGTATTAATAGATTATAAAGGGGCCAGTAATGGGGATGCATCATTCTTTACTGTGTAAATCCAGACAATGTACCATGGAAGCAGGTATGCAGCAGGAGCAGCAGCA